GGGAAGTGAAATTTGAGAGGATTTTTAAGTTGCAAGCAAAAAAAAATAGATTTCAATTTGGGGTTGTTTTTTCTGTTGCTTTTTGTTTTTATCTTTTGTATCGATTCTAAAATTGTGAATTTGTGATTACTTTTTTTTCAATTTTTATATAAAGTAAAATGATTTTTACAGGTTTTACAGAGAATATATTATTTCATTTTTACTTTTTTTTACTTTTGTTGGAAAATACATTTATTTTTATATATGAATTGCTATTTTTTTTGAAGTAATTGTGTTGTTGATGATGTTTGATATTGTAACGGGGATTAACGGGGAAAACGGTCTGTTATAGTCACGATCGACCGTTACCTGTTAAATTACGGCCGTTATCGGTTGTTATAGGTGTAATTTCGTTTCACACCGTGATTTCAGCTGATATTAATAACGGAGGCCGCCAATACCACGATATAAAGGCCGTTATACAGTTACACGCCGTTTTTTGAATCCTTGTGTCAAAGTTATTAAGCCTACTCATGCTGACCCTAATTTTAGCCGGTCGGAAAAAATGATCTTACATTCTTACCCTATACCATGGCCAGGTCCACAAACAAAGTTTCTGATTTGGACACGAGAAGTATTGCCGACTATCGAAACACAATCATCTCCTAAAAGAATATCAAGCAAGAATCAACATAAGAAACTCCAGTACATGTAATCATGAAAAGAAGATGTAAACTACAAAGATATTATATTTTTAAACATTTCGACCGAATTTTCCAACTATTATTTCGAAATCCATATAAACAAAAGCTGTAGAAAAGAAAAAAACGAAAAGATGGAAACAAAACCAACCTGTTCTTACAATGCTATTCTTCACTTCAACACAGCGGCATGAACTGATGTGAGTTCCATCAGTGTTCGGGCTAGTAGCGGGTGCTATCACCTTAAGATTGGATATTGTAACCCGTAGACAATTAGTAAAGGCAACGTGCATCTGTTGACTGTTTACCATCATAAGATCATGGACTTTCAGATCCTTGCACTTGTGGAATGTCAAAGCCTGCATTTCATTTGTGAAAACAATAAGACTGCGTTTGGTTCGCGGAGTCTTACATTACCAAGGAAATGTTTTTTTCTAAAATTATATTCTCACGTTTGGTTCACGGAATCTTACATTACCGGGAATACTCTTTTCCCAGTAGTAACATTTTTTGGTTAAAATGGTAGGAATATCATTACCTCCAAATTCTTAGATAATCTTACATTCCCATCACTTTGGACAAGAATACCCTTAGACTAATGAATTCTTTTTATAATGATCCTTCTAAATTCTTATTTTTTATACTTTACTAAAAATATTAATAATATTGAGAATTTAAATATTTTATATTTTTTAATATTTTACTATTTATAATTTTATGGAATGAAAAAAAATAGTATTATTGTAAAAATGTAATTATTTAAAATGATATTTTACTACCATAATATTATTTTTATATTATATTATATTTTATATAAATAAATATAATACTTATGAACATTATTTAAAAATATAAATATAATATATTAATTATATTAATTATATATTAAATGTAATTTCTCCTCAAAAGTTAGATAATATAACGATTAAAATATTTTTATGAATTTCCATTCAAATATTTATAAATTAATATTAAAGTTTAACTTTAAAAAAATATCAAAGGATAATTTGGTAAAATATGCATCCCAGTAATCTTATATTCCTCTAACCAAACACTGTAATATTACATTCCTGCTAAACAAACCAAACAAGATAATATTAATATTCTCATAATAATGTTATATTCCAGTAATGTTATTCCTAAAGATAATATTACATTTAGTGAACCAAACGCTCCTAAGGAGAACATAACATTCCTGGAGGCCAGCTAGTAAAGAAGAAAATACATGGAACTAAGTATCATTTCCGAAATAAGATCGCAGGACCTACTGTTGGAGCATGCCGACATGGCTGCAACAAAAAAGGAAACCAAAGCCACGTTAAGAATAGCTCAAAGAAAAATCTCAGAGAAAATACATAGATACAAAAATTTGGAGCATCAGTACATTCGATTTCTTTCTTTTGCACGACCAAGCCCACCATTGCTATCCCAGCCCATTGATCATGCCTCCTCCAGCGACACGGAGAATTTTCACCTCATGAAAGTAGAACCACTTGCTACGATTCAGACCATCCCATACATGGGGGGTTTTCGGAGCAACAATCGTACCCAAAATCTATTTAAAGACAACTCCAAGCAGCACCCAGAATCGACGTTAAGTACAAATATAAACAAAATAGAGATACATCAATTGATTACAAAATTCGAATTATCAACTTCTGGTCACTTACCATCAAAGTGATCTTCGATCTGCAAGGCCCGCCAAGCTGAACAGGATGAATCAGATAAGTATATCCAGCTGGTATTTCAATCCTTATTCGACCTCGGAAAGAGCATGCTACATTCCAGGCCTTCTCAAAAGCCTAAAAGCAGTAATACATTGCAATATCAGCAAACAATTTATGTCCAAACAAATTGGTTACATTTAACATCAAAATACACACTTTACATGAAAACCAGATGACTTCTTTTTCTGAACTAAAATTTTGGGTAAATAAAACCATTGGCCCTATAATACCATAAATTCTCATAATCAAATTTCAAAATGTTAATAACTAAATTCAACTACACTATGAACCAATGAATGAACAATATTCAAAAGAAAAGAAAAAACTTGGAAGGTATTGAATTCAATCCATCTTCACCGCTGAAACATTATCAAATTATTCCAGAAAAAAATTGTTACCTTAGAGTCATTATGGTAACCATTTCCTTTAGCCCCAAAATCAATGATAGATAGAACCTTTTTAGCTATGGGTAAGATTGTTGGTGACCCAGATTGAGGGAGCAGTAAAAGTGAGTCAGTCAAGTTCAAAGCTTTCTGAATGTACTGCAACACAGGATCGCATTGACATAAAAAAGCAAATGAAAACGATGATGTTGCATGTTGAACGTGAAGAACTAAAGATAAATCCTGGGTTTTTCATTGTGTGAAACCAAAGTAAAGAAGAAGAAGAAAGAAGAGATGCTAACAGAGATTTGCTAAAAATGGTGTGGGGTTTCAAGAAGAATGCAGTAAGCTTCAAAACATAGGATGTTTCTGGTTCTTTAATGTGAATAAAGATTATCTCTCCTTTTTTTTTTCCTTTTTCTTTTTAATGAGAAAATTACACCTGTTCAAATGTCGGTATCATAAATCCGAATCCGACTTGTTTGGTTTTTTTTAGATAAAGCATCTAGTAATTCAGATTAACTAGGTCCTAATTACTGTTTAATAATTTAAAATAAATTAATATAAATTTAACTATACAAATTTTAATATATATATATATATATATATATATATATATAGTTTTAGTAACAAGCAAATAGTTTATTGAAAATTATGAATGAAAGCATACTAATAAGAAAAGTCCCTAGCTTTTGTAATTTTTTCAATTGTATTTTTAAATTTTTTATTGATAATTTAAATTTTAAAATTTTATTTTTTAAATAAGTTGTTTTATGGTCAATTGACTATCAATTAATTAATAATATTTTTGATGACATGGTAGGACAATATTAAAAGTATAATTGAAAAAAAAAACACAAACATTGAGGCTTTTTTACTGTTAAAATTTTTCACTCTTAATTTATAATTTATTTAAATATGTGCATTCATTTTATAGTATTATTTATTTCTAAAATATTTTTATTTGAATTATTATAAAATATAAAAATATAAACCAAAAATAAATTAAAAGAAGTATGAGATTATAAATAAAAAAATATAAATCATAATATAGTAAAATATATTTTTTATTTTCAATCATTATATTATTAAAGTTATAATTTATTAGCATGTATTCTTTTAAACACAAGTCTAAAACTAATAAGTACACAAGTTTTTGCATTCACGATACAGATGAAAATGTATTTTATATTTACACAAAAATATATTTATAAATTTATTAAATGAATAACCAAGTAGAATGATAAAGAATTTGTATATAAATTTATTAATTTTATGCTCCACCACTAAATAGTGTTTTTAGTTTATTTTATTTAAAGACATGATGAAATTATAAATTAATAATGAAAAATACATAATAACAAGAAAAAGTCTCAGTGTTCGATTGTTTCTTCAATTGCACTACTATATTGTTATGCCACGGTAGAAAATTATTGACCGTCAATTGATCATCTATGTAACATCCAAATTTTGAGTAAACGGATTTTAAATGATCAATCAATATAATTGGATAATTAGATTTGTTGGGGTAAATTTGAGCATGCTTGGGGTGAATTAGGGATAATTTGAGCTCCAATATCGTATGCGGGTTAATTATTTAGTTTAATACGGAACAAAACAAATTAATTAAGGATTTATGACATTTATTACAATGACTTAAAATTCGTCACGTAAAGAGTTTTAATAAAATTATTTTTTTATTCAAACTTTTTATTTTGATGTGATAAAATTTAATAAAAAATATATTTTATTTGAACTTATCAATTCAACGTGACGAGTTTGAATAAAAAATATTATTTGAGCAAACTCATCACCTTAACGTGATGAGTTCTTTCAACATTGTAACAAATGTCATAGGTCCCAAAATAAATTTTTATATGCCATGTTAAACTAATTAATAAAAATGTTTGCCCTGTTGAAAAAACCCTACGAGAATTAGGCTCAACTAGACCTATGAGATAAATTTGTAATTTTATTTAAGTATTATATAAAATTATAAAAAGAAAATAATCTAATCTTATAAGAATATTATTTTAAATTTGTAATTTTATATAGAGAGAAAAGGGGAATGGTGTCCTAATGAAATTTAATAATTATTTATTTTATCAATTTTTTATATGAAGCTTGTTATTTATCTCATGAAATAATTTTGTAAATTGCTTAGTTTATCTCTGTTTTTTTTAAATTTCTGATATCAAAGGAAAAAGCGAGAAGAACAGAAGAGATTCATCTTCTTTTAAGAAAAGGCAAAGTACCATTACAAAAATATAATAAATAAACTCTCTAAAAAGAACAATAAAACCATAAAAATTAGAAAAGCATAATCATCACCAAAAAAGTACTACAAAATGCTAAGGGACAATTCCCATTTGTCACACCTCAAGTCTCTCTTAAATTGCCTTCGAACACCTGCAATTTCAAGTCAAATAAATAATATTAATTAGAATTTTAATAAATAATAACATGGTCAAATACACAAATGATCATTAAACAACGTTGAAATAATTTTTCCGATCACTAAATTTTAGAAGTTATAAAATGATTAACTTATCAATTTGTTATAAAATTATCATTACACATTGTATTAAGGTTCATTTTGTAATAAACGATAAGTTTAAAGACCATTTTGTAACCGTTTAAGAAGTTAGTGATCATTTTATAGCTTCTAAAGTTTTAATAGCAAAAAAGTCATTTTAGTATAATTTAGTGATCATTTATATATTTTACAATAATAGTAAGTAATTGAAGAATATGGAAAACGAAATGTACCCAAAAATGGATGGTACGTTTAGCATGTGTTTTAGTATGAAGATCTATTGCTGAAGTCCCTTGGGGCACTGCATCTGAAACATTCCATTCGGCTAGCGAAATTATGTTCGTTGCAACCCGACCTTGTACACAACCAGTCGCCGGATTTCCAACCGGATCGATTTCCTCCGAATCCTCTCGACCGAGTCATATCAAAGTCGTAACCTCCGACGGCCGACTCATCCTTGAACGTGCCACAATTGAAGCAAGTCGAGCGGCTGGCGAAATTGTGAGTGCCGCAGTTTCCCGCGGTGCAGTACCAATCACCGGGTCGAACATCCGAGCCAGTGGCCGCCGCGGTAAACCCGAACGTCGACGCACTACGAGCACCAAATCCACCAGACCGGGATTCCCCACAACGTTGGCAGTTGTCCCTCCTTTGGAAGTTCAAGTGCTGGCATGACCTGCAGTTCCAATCTCCTGGTCTGCTCATGTTTTCTTACGAAAACACAAACACGAACACACTATCTCAGGGAAAAAAACGAAATATTAAAGATTAAAAGTTATAAGATTACAAAGAAAGCAAACCTTCGTTTGGGGTAAAATCAAAATGATATAATCAAAGGGGTGAAGTTGAAGGAAAATGACCGAATGAGGGGCTGTTTATATACAACACTTTGAGCAGAGGAAAAAGGAATACATGGAGGACTGTATACGTACTTTCTCGTGTTCTTCACATCTTGCCTTGATAAATGAAATATTCATATATAAAAAAAAACCTTAAAGAGATAAAGGCAAATTCCGGCTATGATTCCAAAGACCACAAATTTGAATTTTTGAACAAATGATTCTCTTCTCGACCTTTTCTTTTTATCTATGTATCACCATTTTCTAACTATCACCTGTTATAAATTGTCTATCGAAATCACATGTTTCTAGCAGCACATGAACGAAGGTGTGTCACAGCACTCATATTAAGTATATCTTTACAATAATATTTTTAAATATTCGGAAAAAAAACTAATATCTAATAATAAGAGATTTGCGACCGTATCACAACCTTTTTTTTACAAAATTTGTATAATTTTTCCGTTTTCTTCCTTATTTATCCTTTTTCTCATTTTAGTTATTGACAATGTTCTCATTTTAGTTATTGATAATGTAGGTAACGTGTTTAAAACTTATCGTTAATCATCTCTTCATGATCATGATCATCTCTAATTTTAATTTTATTCAAAAAATTTCTAACCCGACTCGATTCGATTTCAAATATTATGATATTTTGGCAGCCCGGCAAATGACGCAGCAGAAAAGCAAAAGGGAGATCCTGTTACCCGATAAACACAACAAAGCTGATATAAAAGAAAATATGTTTACTCAAGTGCTGAAACCATCAACATTACACTAAAATCTCTTTGACCATTTGCCTTTGGGGCCCTCCTCCTTACGAGCCGGCATTTTTGCAAATAATTACATGAATGAAAATAGACGATTAAGATTAACCGTGAGAAATAAAAAAAAAATATTCTTTAAAAAAAATAAGGAGATAATCTCAGCAGTCTATTTTTACTCGTATAATGATCATACAAAAATGTAAAACTAAAAATCTTACACCAAGTGTAAATGAATCCCAACTCATTATGAGACATACTATATATATTTTGCATTCAAACCATGTTACGTGATTAAATTATAAATATGTAACATAATTCAAATGAATGATACAAATGTGACTAATCAAGTGACATTAGTGATAAAAGAAAATATTGATCTTCCTTATAGAGGTCATCGAGCAGCGATGTTGGCATAGTATGTATGCATTATCAATAGATTAAAAAAATCTTAAATATATACTATCTTATAATCACATCAAACTATTAGAAAAAAATCTTTTAACTAGTGAGTTAAACCAATCAATGTGGTACATTTCATTAGATTTTTGGTACTGATTACTATCTCTTTCAAAGCAACAACAAAGACAGTCAAACACATATATGAGAAACATTGCCATTGCTTTTACATGTTTGAATATTCTCCTTTTTTTTGTACTTAAAAGACCCAATTTGGTAAAGCAACTCTCCATTAAATTTACATAAAACCCAAACCATTCTTATTTTTGTAGTGTATAGCAATAAAGGGTGTTCCTTTATTCATTTGTAGCATGCTCACTTTTTGTAACTGAGTTTTGGTCTAGAATTTATAAAATTAGGTGGGTTGATTTTATTAGTAAGAGATTACTTAATAGTTAAGTTTATTGATATACTATACATTTATAATAAATAATAAATCTTATTATTGTAACGAGATATTTATTACTATCGTGGAAATAGGTCAAAGTGATTTAACTATATGAAATATTCTTTCCCGTAAATATGACTAGTTATTTGTTAGTAATTTATCTTCCAATAATTTTATAGATTTAAGTTCGTCCTATGAATATAAAAATATTGAGTTCGTCCCTCATTATATCAAAATATATATGTATGATAGTATAAGTTAAGCAAGTAATTATGAATTGATGCATGGAGGAGGGAAGAAAAGGGAAACAAAACAAAGTGGGAGAAAAGGGGAGAGCAAAATGGAGAGTTTCAATAAAGATAAGTTTAGGTTTTATCATTTTGACCATCTTTTCCTTTTCCCCCCCTGCGGCTACCTGCTTTAACTCTCTACTCTATCAATGAACGCCCTTTTTCTCATTAACCAATATTTACTAGTATTAAACATACAATCCACCGACTTTATAATATAATAATAAAATATTTTCCTTAAAATGAAAATTCCAATTGATGTAGATGTAGATGTAGATGTTAGATTTAATCCTCTATTTTTCTTTTTCACGAAATTAAATTAAATTCAGAATAGCCTACTTAATTAACTAAGAAAGGAAAATAAACAGTAAGAGACGTACGGAGGGTGAATAAATAAGAAGAAATCTCGAAGAAGGGTAAAGTGCAAACTGTAAAGAGAGGGGACTGATTTTATTCGCCTTGGGAATCGTTTCCATGCATTGATTACGACCAACTTATTATTCCTTTGTTTATATTCATTTAAATTAGAATTTATGAAATAATTTTACTCACAAAGGGATGCTTTTCTTAAATAGATTTAAGTTCGATAAAATACACATAGATTGTTATAATTTAATTTTTTTAAATAAATATTATCGATTTAATTATAATTTGATAAATTTAATCCTTAAGTTTATCAATTTTTATATTAAAATTAAATTAATAAAAATTTTAAATACAAAGGGATAGATTTACTTATTTGTTCTAAATTACGAACAAATCTATGAATTTAGCCACCAAATCACACCTCATAGTTGTAATTTGGTTTAATGTTAAACTATTGCAAACGCTTCTCCACAAGAACATTTTATTATGATATGTCATTATTTATTTTAGGGTAAAGTACATAAACTATATGATATTGTTTTATTAAGTCTCTCGATAATTAAAAGTTACAAAGTGGTTTTTTAACTATGGAGTGTTGTTTTATTGGGTCCTTTGACTATTAAAAGTTATAAAATGATCACCTAACTATTCATTATGTTTCAAACTTGTTCTTTTCCGTTAAAAAATGACGTTATTCTGAAATAAACATTAACCTGCTGACTGTGATATGATAAAATGTGATTCTAGAATCTCAGATGACTATCATATCCCATTTTATAACTTTTAATAGTCGAATGTCTTAACAAAATAATATCTTATAGTCAGGGGATCATTTGTTTACTTTACCCTTTACTTTATTAGTGTAATTTTGTTATTAAACCAAGGTTATTACAAAATAATATCTATTCTAAATACTTTGAACCATTTTTGACAATGAACATTCAATCATCATGCTTCAGCCGTTGGTGCTCGAACCCATGACCTCTAGGAACAACAACGATTTCTTTACGATTGAAGTAAGTTAGTTTGTTCCACTTTAAGATAAATTCTAATTGTATATGGTATTTGATTAGCTTAAAATTTATATTTACTTTCCTATAAAAGATAACAATAGAGATTATCGAATAAAAAATTACGATTAATATCTTCATATTTACTATTATTAATCTCAATGGTTTATTTTTAATTATCAAACTATATAAAACTTAGAATTTTTATACTATGTATTCGATTCTAACTCTGTATATATTAGTAATCTTTTTGAGTGAAAAATATGTCTTCATCTCATTCAAACATCATTCGAACCAGTGTCAAAGACGATCAACAAAAGGAGGAGGATTATGCTGGCATCTCAGCTATTGGCGCATCGACACAGCCGATTTCTTTGCAGCATGCCAGCATTGCTGCCTTGTAGCCATCATCAGCTTGCAGCGTCAAGCAAGATGGCGGCGAGTTAGTCCAAGGCATCCGGAAAGTTATGCAAGGCATTGGGGAAGTGGTGAGCAAGTTTGTTCAACATACAAGTTGACCTAACATTAGCCTTTGTGTTATTTTGTAGTACTATATTATAAGTTTTAAATCTTCGGCTTAGCATAATGCACCGGGATTCGACTGTCGTGCTGACAATGGTCAAATCCCGGTGCATAGGACAACACATGAAGATGTCTCGACTCTTGAAACTCGAGTCCATATGAAAGCTGATGATAAAAAACAAGATAGAAACATATGCTACTAATTTCTTATATGTCATTAACTAATAATAAGATGCTCAGAAAATACAACGAACTAAGTTATTACAATCTTCAAGGCAGTTATAAGTGTTAAAGTTAAGAAGGCTAATTTCAACTATACCATATACCCAACATGCCATTTTTTTCACTATCTGCTTGTTCGTATCCGCCATTGTTGTTTCTCGAACTACGAACCGATGCTTTTGCTATGTTCAACGGGATCCCTCGAGCCCGAGTCTCGCCGTAAGCCAATTGCAGACCTCATCCATCTCTTTAGGGACTGTGTAATGGCCAATCCTGCAAAACAAATCAACCAAAAGAACTCAATATTTTTCAGGGTTTCACAATGAGATCTTAAAGGCCTAAACGATTACCCTTCATAGTTTTTGAAAGTGAGGTTCCAGAATCCTGCTATGTTCAATGAATGAGCAGATTTTTCACCGAATTTGTAGGGGACAACATCATCACCTGCAATAAGATTATAAGTCGATTTCGAATATAAATCTACCAGTTCGTAGTTATGTCTGAATTGAACTCTAAAGCTACATGACAGAGCAGGGCTTTCCATGTTATTCTATATTCATGTCCGACACTCTGTTTGAGACGATCTCATGTTGGAACATATCAATGTATGACACTTCATCCCGAGTCCAAGTAACATAGCTCAGATTAAATAACTAGAGCCAAAAAGGACAGATTGGACCATTTCTGGATTCAGTTTCTTATGCTAATCTAGGAAATTTTCTGAAAAGAGACAAAGATGATTACAGGTTCCATGGCTAAGCAAAATCGGCAAAGATGCTGCACGCCTTGCAGCTTCATGTGATGCTTGTATTTTGTTCCTTAAGCCCCTGCAAAGCCAACAGCTTTTGATGAGTATTTTCTTCAAACTCAAGATTCAAATCACTATATCATGAATTCATGATGATTTCCGAAAAAAAATAATCTCTATGAATCATGGAAGGGTATGCTCTGACACATTCGAAAATAGGCACCCTAACGGTAACAAATTGAGCATACCGATGCAAGAAACATATTCGTATCCAACACTGACACTTGAGTCCGAGTAACATAAGATGCCGTACCTTGAGCCGGGAAGCCATCCACTTAGCCCAACAACAGCCCTAAGGTTGATAGGGTATGGGTTGCCATTTCCATATCTTCCTAGAGCACAAGCAGTTGCAGAGTAGAGGGCCAATGCAGCACCCATACTAAAGCCTCCAATACCAACCTTGACTATCAAAAGGAAACAGACACCAGTTCAAAACCAATATATATATATACACAAATAGAGAATGGCATAGTTATTTTAGAATACCATCAGGTGGCTCAGTTGACAAAAAGTTTGCAATATGTGCTGTTGATGCATCTAAACCTTCCCAATCATCTGGACCGTCTTCCGATAGCTCACCGGCATCAAACCCTGATGCCAAGCAAATTCAAATGATTACATCTTAACAAACCATATGATAGAACCTACGCTGCTCCGACTTTAATTTTTCTCGAAGTATTCGTGTCTAACACATTACACATGTGTCCAACATATGACCATGAAGATATGATCTCCAAGTACATGGAAAAAACATAAAAAAATCGACCATATACTTGTCAGATACGTACTTGTATCCAACAGTCGTGCTCGAGTCGGAATAAGAATAAGATAAGATTAAACCAAAAAATTTCTTACATGCAGTGCAAGGAAACCCCCCAAGTAAAGCCACAGGACGAGTTGGAGCAGTTGGACAAATCCATTTTATCTGAAGCATATAATAGAAATAGAGATTTGAACTATTGGAAGATGAACCAATATAATTAGTTCAAAGTAATGTATGAAGACATCCTTACATTTGGAAGAGGAAGACTTTCCAAGAGCTGTGACCAACTGCAACAAAATACAAATAAATGTGCGAATTTAGATTTCTAGTGTCGAATACGAATATATGTCTTTCAAGTTTTTCGAATATATATTTAGAAAATCATATCCGATATCCACATTCGAATATATATCGATCACTTTAACTTGAATCTAACTTTGTCCTTTCTCAATGAATATCCTTTCTCAAAAGCTAAATAATCTACGTTTTTTCTCAATTTGGCAGGAAAAAAAGCACAATTTAATATGTGGTCCATTATCTTTGAACATGGAATATACTCCTTTTTGACATTTAAGCCTTCCAAATTGAGCTTAATAACATATGAGACAAAAATAATGAATTTATATTTATACATTGTATATTATCTCACAACTTCAACTGCTTTCTCCATATAACTTACTCCAATTCACAGTAAATTCAATAGAAAACACAGCCATCATCTCTGAAAATTTTAATTTCTCGTATAATTTAGATATTTTATTTATTTTTCTATTGATAATATATTTTTCCCCCTCTAAAAAATTATACATTTGTCAATGATTCAAACAGTAAAAAGATCCCAATAATATGATGTTCACCAACAGTAAAACAATTGAGGCAATATAACAAAAACCTAGCATGCAATATAAGAGAAATACCTTGAGCCATTGTCGCCAAGGCCATGAAGCCACACAATAGTAGCCTGGTGTTTCCCTTTTGGTCTAACAACATAAGTCCTTCCAAATTCAAGTGTCCTTCTAGAAGTTCTACTACCTACAAAATCATAAATAAAAAACATTATTAGAAACCTTATGAATGAATGTCAACAATTGAAAATTTTAGAATTTGAAATAAGTTCCGAGTTCGAGCAACTACTTCAGTGTGTGTGCATTGCCAATAGGTTAAGAAAAAATCTGAACAAATACTATTTTATAATCAATTATTATAAAAAAAAAACAACTAGAAAGCAACTAACCAGAACCCATAGTGCAATGTGAATAGCTCATGATTTTGTAAAAGGACTGAGAAGAGGTGGTACAATGAAGTAAACCCAGAGAGGTGTTGCCTATTTATATCAAATAGGATGGTGTGATAATGGAATAAAGAAACAGGTACAACTGGCTAGAAGCCTAGAACATTGAGGCTAAGTTGCCTAGAAAACTCAAAATGGACACAAGGGCATCCTTGAAAATGAAGGGGTTAAAAGACAATTATATATATATATATATATATACATACATCCCTTCATAGAGATTTGCAACAATATAGAGAGAATCTATGCCTTGTAGGCAGTGGCCAAAAAAATTAAAATAAAATAAAACAAATCCTCCTCAAACAGAAAATTACTAAAAACAAGAAAAAGAATAAACTTAATTTGAAAAAAGGAATAATATCTTTTATCCGAATCATTTATTTATGAATTCTTTCATGATTTGATTGATACCCATTATGCAAAAAAGAAGCATAGATGTTTCAACTCATACACCCTTGCACATTTTTGGTATAATGGAAATATACTGAATAGTCCCATTGAAAAAAAAATTCTCCCTTTCTTCGATAAACCTCAACATACATACATTAGATATTTTCTCCATTTCTGATATTTTTTATAAGCTTATAAAGAATATCAACCTGGGTTTTAGAGAAAAGCATGTGGCCTTTTTTTTTCCTCTTTCCTTTTGCCTGATTGCCGCTATGATATTTGGTTGCTCAAATTCTCAGTCCCACCATGATAAAGCTTTGTTAGTATATTTTCATGGGGGACACAAAGTGTTCAAGCACGTAGTAATTTATGTCCTCCATTTCTTCAAGGCTATTATCATTGCTTGAAAGTGTTGAAAAACCTTAAGTTTTAAGTTTTAACTGGATAATAAAAACAACTACTACTACTATTTGATTTTCCGGAGTTGCAGAATTGCACTACAGCTTTTGTTATCATCTTCATGCTGTCATTCATATTTGGCCTACTGGGTTCTAGCTGTATAGTGTTCAAATAGTTAAAATTATTCTTTGAACTCTTAAGTTTATTGAACATCATCCCCAGATTGAGGTGTACACAGTAAAACTGGTTGACTTATGAGAGGAAAAATCTAGCGCTGATGTGGCAGGTCATGATTGGTTGATGTGTTGAACGGTGGCATCTGTTACCTCATACGTCAACTTGTCAGTGCTTTTTTCTATTCTTTATGGGAGGAAAAAATGAAACTTTTTCATTTGTCAACTCCTCCCTTATACCACAACTCTCATTTGGTGTCATAATCTATCTATCTATATAAATGTAGTGATAAGTAATTTGATATCTCTGAAATCGATTTTAAAATTCGAGTTTTATGGAATTAAAAGATAATATCAGAGGAGCTTTATTCTTGTTCAAAATTTAAATTTAAATATAATCAAAATTTATGTGATTGCGGATTAGAATTATATTTAAATGAGTTTAGTTGCTTGATTCTTGAGTAAAAAATATAACTGAATGACAACAGATGCTGCATGCACTATCCATGAGTGTGGCCTAATTTATTAATGATATAATACAATGCATCAGCCAATATAAAACTATATAAAATACTAGTTGATTTGATGTTGAAAAGTTGGAATCTTCAACATAAATTACTAAAAATAAAAGAATAGTTGCAGCTAATTCATCTGCAAAGCTGGCTCCCAAAATGCAGTGAAAGTGAAATCTTATATGGATTCTTAAGAAAAATCCCAAGGGCTTTCACATCGTACGAGATGTCTAAGTAACTATACACTAAATTTTAGGGTATTCTTTGCTTCAATCTATTAATTATCATAACATTAAGGAAATGTTTGGTTTGTGATATCTAAGATCACGAGATATGATATAAGATTATGTCATAAATTATCTGATTTAATTTGTACATTTGGCTGATATCGTAAACTCATAATACCAACAAAGTCAAGGTTTTCAAATTTAAAATGAAATCTCAATATCAATTCTTCCCTAAATTATCATATATTATGTGTGTAATATAAAATTTTCGATTATTTTATTGTGTCTCTCTTGAAACCTGAATATTTTTTTCGATTAGTGACCTATTTTATTGATGGTATCCACTCTGAAATTTTATTTATGCATATCTCGTTCAAAAGTTTTATATTATTAACATATACGTGCACACCCTCAAAAATATTTTAGGATTCACTATTGATTTTATCTTTCAATTTTTAGTTCTAATCAATTTTATTTATTTTTTTCTAACCGACGGTGTATCAAATAATAACTTTGACAGTATTGTTTATATATTTAACGTTAGGATGAAATAATAATTTATTAAATTTGTGATTTGAAATTATTTTTGTAGTTTCAAAGAAAATTTTATTGTAAAAAAATTTAATAAAATATAATTCTAAATAGTTTTATATTCTCGATCATGAATCAATACAAAATTTTATGTCAAGAGATGCGAATTTAGTAATTTATATTAAAAAATTAGGGATATAAAATTATCAAATTTTATAAATGTAAAATTAGACCACCAATAAAAAACAAAAAAAAATCTAAACTATATAGATATATCATTTTGGCCCCTATTTTTTTGTTTTTGGAGTATTTTAATCGCAAACATTGCATTTAAGGTAAAAAGTCTCCTAACATTGACTAAATAGTCACTTTGATTTTTATTTTTTCATCTATAACATTTTGACCCTCTGACATTTCATTTTATGATAGAAAGGCCCATAATTTAGAGTATTAATCGTTTGTTGACTAATGGTTTACATCCACAAATTGATCTTTTTACCCTAAAATAAAACGTTTGAAGATAAAATATTTCAGAAAAAAAAAAGTTAAAAGAATCATTTTAATAAGAATTATAAATTACTTTTTACATATAACATATATAAAATTTACAACGATATAATTGTACCTTAATATCTCTCCTCGAACCATCTCTGTTATGGATAGATGAGTCGTATAATATTATATGCTAGAAACAAACGCATGGTAAGACAGGCGTATCATGCATTGACAAGACGTTTCGTTGAAAACCATGCAGGGAATAGGTATGTAGGGGAATTCCCTTTATCTTGTAATGTTTAGTGAAAAAAGATAAACTAATGAGTGACGTACATTATTTATTTATAAAAACACACAAGTGGAGATGCTCGTCTTGTTACGTTGATTCTGGAAAAATAGCATTGATTCAAAGATTAACTTATTGGAAATAATAAATGAAGGAAATTTTGATTTATTTATTGCTACTAACCTGTCGTTTCTCCTTCTAAATAAAATTATAATCAATTTGAAAGTATTTGTATTCGTTACAGATTTCGTTGGAGTTATGAGATGAAAATTTCATGGAAAGATAAAGTATTTTGGTAGGGTTACTGTGTTTGTATAGTTATATATAAAGTCTTTTAGAGTTTGAGTTTTAATGTTTGATGTACTCTCGTGTGATTATCTTGTGTTTTTTTATAGAAATTTTCATGTAAATTAGAGTGTTTTTGTCTTTCTTTCTTATTGTTTTATGATCGTACTCATCATTGTCTATAAGGGTGAAATCATATAGAGGGGGAGTGATTGCCCTAAGAACGTAAAAAAAATTAATTTACGGTGCCAAAATTTTAAAAAGTTAGTAAAATTTCTTTGAAGGGGTAAACTATTTTTGAAGTGATGTCGATGTTCAATTGAAATAGTATACAAAAATGAAATTAAAACGTAATCTTAGATATGATTTTAAAATAAAAGATGTTGAGTGATAAAAATAGAACAAAAATGATAGTTAGATACTTAAATGTGTACTTTACCAATTTTTAGATTAAGCTTATATAATATTTATGCGTGTGTAAATAGGGTTGAAAAATATGTTGCTTTTGCAAGTAGAGGATAGGTGAGGCATTATAGCTAGGGTTTGGTTTTGTCTTTACTATGAACATCTTTTTATTATCTTACAAATGGAGATATAATTTAATGAGTGAATGTAGGTTAAAGAACAGTGATTGAAGAGACACAACTAACATCTTGTGTTTGAATATTATATCCTTACAGAACATATCACACATTTTCTGATTTTCTTTGAATTTTTTTATGGATGGGCGAAGTTCCCTCCTAAATGCAATAAAAACTTGTCCTTTCAAATGAACTATTGTTTAGAATATTTGTTTTTAAGAGAATTTTCAGCTCCTCCAAGCAGGAAATAAATGCTGTTTTTTAGGGGGGAATGGCAAACATTGAAGAAATGTGTTTGGAAAACGAATATAAAAAAAATAAACAAATTAAAAATAATAAAATGTTGGTTTGATTAAAAATATTTATAATATTAGGTTTGGGACACCATCCACATATTTTGTGAATTAGTCCAAAAATTAGATACCAAATATTGCCTGAAAGCTTTGTGAAAATTGATGGACAATAGCAACTCATGACAAATTAGCTAACCAACCATACTTGAAAATGATATAATAAAAATTATTTGTATGCAAAATGGTTTTGGAATAAATTTTTTTCTAAACCTGAAGTGACCTTCAATTCCAGAGTAATTTTCATTTATATCACAAACCTTTAATTTATCCAAATTACATCATTCAACTTGTTATTAAAAAATTAAATCACTTATACCAACACCATTGAATAGTTCTAAATAAAACCAACCTTAACCTGAAATGACTTAATCGAAGCCAATCCAATTGAATGTCATTAAACCTGTAGGACTTTAAAATTCAGCATGTTTAATGGAATAATGGGGACGGTGGCCATCGATTAGTTAAACCTAACAAGATTCATAGTTCAAAAAGATGACCACCCTGTGTCTAAAAAACCACCTGAAACAAGACCAAGGGCCAATCAGAAAACAAACACGACAGGTTTTCAAATGTTTGAATGTGCAATGCACGGTATACAGGACTTCGATCCATCCTCTCCGAATATTATTCCAATAGGGAAAAAGCTGGAAACTGCGATTAATGATGATGTTCGTCATCACCGTGTCCATCTGGAGGTCCTCCAGGACCCACAACTTCCAGCTGCCAGACAACAACATAAATAATTAGAAAAATCCTACAATGCTTGAGACAACCTAGTGCATTGAG